AATGTAAATAAATCTATAAGACGTGGATGTGTAGCTAATCAGTATTTGATTGACTGATTGATTCGTTTTGTACGGCTTATCAACCGATTGCAGGTTATTTAAAGCTAGTAAAATATTAGGTTGTACGAATTAAGGGGTGCAGATAATAATGGTTTAGTATTATAAGTCTTACTAATTAACCCATAGCTGGGGAGAAAAGAAGCGACTTCATACCTTTCCTAATGGTATTTGTGCGTAAGTGAATATAACAAACCCAACTGGAATTGGAAGTCGGCTCTCCGATTAATAATTTCGAGACATTATCCATTACATCACCCGCACATCCAAGCTTATAGCACCTATTATTTGCAGGTGATCACTCATTTAGGTACTGACAAGGCTCGACTTTGCTTAACTTTGGTGATCGTACGGGAACTGGTGTTTCAATGTGATTCCGATAAAATTAAATAATATCAAGTTAAATAAAAATAAAATAAACAAATTAAAGAATTAAAGTTAAAATAAAAACTGAGCGATATGAAATGAGTTGTGTCCGATATACTAAAACTACTGCCCTTTTATGTGTTAAAAAACCTTAAAACTGAATTAAAAAATGAAGGTATAATTTTAAAAAAAATGAAAAAAAAAAAATAACAATATCATTAAATTAAAAATTAAATAGCAAAAAGCGAAATTTATTAAGATTAATGTGTCAAATACTCTGGAATTAGTGCCCATTTGTGTAACAAAAAATAAAATTAAAAATAAATAATCTAAATAAATTAAAAAATTAAAAATATGATAAAATTAAAAATATTATTATTTTTTTCGGGCTAACGCTTTGTAGGTTATTTAAACCCGGAACATATTTTTGAATTGTAACAAGGAGGAAGCTTATACGGAAGAGGCAGATGAAATTTCTGGGACATGTAATGAGAAAGGAGGGCCTAGAGAATCTGATACTCACAGGTCGAATAGAGGGGGAAAAAAGAGACAAGGGAAAGCAACGCGTGACATACCTAGCGGGCTTAAGCAAGTGGATTACAGAACGTGGTCTGGGAGAAGAAGCAAAGGGACGGAACTTATTGAGAGTCACAAGAAATAGGGGGGGGGAGTGGAGAACCATGAATGGCTACGTCCTAAAAGGACACTGCACATGAAAATAAAGAAAAGAAGAAGAATCATTTTCGGGCATTATTGTATTAACATTTTTGTTGGAGAGAATTATTTTCAGATGCAATTCCTACATAACTAGGAGAGAAGAACTGGATTCATTCGTTTCCCAAGGGTATTTGCGCGTAAGTGAATTCAACGAACCTAACCGGAATTCGAACTCGGCTCTTCAATTTTTCATTCTGAGCCGTTATTCATTACACCGATCATACTTCCAAGCTTGCAGCACCTGATATTCTTAATTAGTCATTCATCTAGGTCCTGAGCTGACTTGATGTTGCTTTGTGATCTGACGTGTGTTTCATTCTTGATATGCCCGTAAGCAAATAAAAAATAGAATAAAAAATATTAAACAAGGAAATATATATCAGAGCCTTGTTAGATATACTGGATTTATTGCTCTTTCACGTGAAAAATAAATATAATAAAAAATAAAAATCCAATTAAAATTAAAAATTAAAAATAAAATAAAAATAAAATACATACTTAACGAAATATATAACTCGGTCCGAATTACTGATCTTTTGTGTAATAAGAAAAAAAAAAAAAGATAAAATTTAAATTTTCAAAAATACACGAGAAATAAAAAAAATCAAAATGAAAAACATAACAAGATACGTCCTGGTGTGTGACGATAAACTACATCCAGCAGCAAGGTTTCTGATCGTTAGGTTTTGAAGAGCGTGAAACCAACTCTTAATTGGTGTTGTTCTCAGGTCCACCCTGACCCGGGGGTGGTAGCACCCGTTAGGGTCCCAGCTCTGGTCAAAAAGTTAACACCCACACTGGTATTAAAACACTATGAAAGTATAAAAATAGATTTTTATTATTATTATTAGTAGTAGTAGTAAAAACACCAACAATACACTTTTGAAAAAAAAATTCATGAATGCATTTGACTCTCGACAAAAACCCACTTTACTAAAATACAAAACAATCTTGTCGGCGTTAAATAACTCATAAGGTTGATATGTCATAAAACAAACAAACCAAACCAAACCAGATTCTTATTAAAAGTCCGCTTTGCAAAAATACGCCAATGAAACCTGATTCCTTACAAAAAATACATATTCTTTTCATAGAAACCTATTTTAAAAAAAAAAAAAAAAAAAAAACCTTGTCGGCATTAAATAACCCATTGAGGTTGATATGCCATAAAACAGAATCAACCAAACAAAACTGAACAACGACATTATATGAAATGAACCTTATTAGTTATACGAGAAATATTATTATCAAATCTGGAGGGAACAGAAGCCTAAAAATTGTGATTTATAACAACCAACAATAGTTTTCAAGTCATGTAAATATATCTATTTTTATGATGTCCGTTTTGATAAAAATTGTCATCTCAGGTTTCATTCTTACATAGAGAAAAGTATTTACTAAGCATTATCTGGCACAATGCTTCAGCCAGTGACGGTTGACACTCCGATCAAGATAAACTTCGCTGTTCTTACAAGTATAATCTTTAAAAAGATTCACATGAGAAAAACTGAAAATGTGGAATAACAAGTTTATTACAATATAAAATTTAATACAAGCTGAAAAAAAAAATCATTATCCTACCTAAAACATTTTTATTTTGATCGGCAAATCTTTTCATGGTACTTTCTATATCTATCTTCTTTGCAAGATCATTTTCTATTGACAAAATAGTCAAAGAATTTAATCTGTTTTGAGTTAAGGATGACTGCAAGTATAAGCTTTAGGTTTGGAATATCCGAATCATATGTCATGATGGTGCTGATGACGCCTTCCGCCTTCATGGCGCCTTGAAAGCCTGCCTGAGGGGTGCCAGTACCTTGAGCTGGCCCTGGCTACAGCAGTTGAGCCTCGAGTATTGAACATCACTACAACAGTCATGATCTGTGTTTTTTTTTTTTATATCATTACATCAAAATGAGTTGCTTTCTGATAGACTTTGTCTGATAAGATACAACAATCTGCTACTTGGCTCATGGAAGTTCCCTGGGTTTGCCGCCAGTTAATTGATTTTTTTCTTGACATTGATTACACGACTTTTCTCCAGTTCACTCAGATATTCCATACTAGAATGATTCGAACTGATATTACATTATCCTTATCTTTGTATCTTCGAAGTGGTCTTTCACCACGAATCTTTCTCTTTTATGGGTTGAGTCTCGTCAGGACGTGAGTGATCCATGGCTTTCCCCAACTTCCTGTTCTTTGCACCTTTTAGTAAGGTTTGACTTTATGCTATCTCTCCTAATTCCAGGTTTGGTAAACATTTACACATGTTCGTTAGGTAGGTTATTTACTGCTTCCCTGTGTGTCTCTTTCCTTCAATATATCCAACGAGTGTTAAACTCTCCAAGCCCTCTTTCCCCATTATGTACCTTAGAAATTTCAAATTTTTTTTCTGAATCTAAGTATAGGCGTCATTTTTATTCCCATCTCTATCTACAAAAGGCAGTATGTGTGTGTGTGTGTGTGTGTGTGTAACGAATGCACAGCCGCAATTTTCGACGGATTTGCACCAAAAGCAGGAAGATTCTATTGGCCAGCGTGAGAGCCAACAGCTGACTGACACGAATGTTAACTAGCATGCAAAAAAAAATCGATAGCTGCATTCGTCACAAGTGGGAAAAATTTAAATATGTATGGCACTTTACTCCAATTGCCTCATTCACTTGCTTAAACTCAACGTTGATTCTGATTCCGCAGAACTGGGTTGGATGTGAAAAAGTATTTGTTGTTAACATTCTTTTTTCATTTGGTTTTACCAGTTACGAGTCCTTTTTTAAAGCTTATCGTTTTGTGTTCATTTTGTTTAGTTCTTTTTTCGTAACAGATTTAATGTTTAGTATAGAGCTTAGAAAAAAATTCGCAGTGTGAGATAGGCAAGAAGTAAGGCATTAAGCAACTAAAAAAATATTTTAAGTCAAGTGATAGCGATTGCTGTATGAGTCGTACGATTTTTGAATCAAGCACGGGCAACGCCGGGTCATGCTGCTAATTTTCCATAAGAGTTCCTTATCACTTACATGTTCTGTCCATGGGATTCTCAGCTTCCTTTGGTAAAACTATATCTCTGTTGCTACAAGTCTCTTCTTCGTTTGTGATGAAATTGACCAGTATTCATTGCCTCGCAAGACTTCCTCCTGTCGCGTCGTCCAAATCACCATTCGGGCCGTTGCTAGCAGCGTAAGAAACACCATCTGTTTCACCCCAGAATACGGGAGCGACGCATTGTCACACGCGTATGCACAATGAATGAGCACAAGTTTTTCGGGAGGGAGACGAGCCGTCACCTCGCCGACATAAGGGGCAGGCACGGGGACAATGGTAGAAGGCGTGCGAAGCTGTTTCTTCCAGACCAAGGACACACCGTTCACAGTCTGGCAAATCCGCCAAGCCCCATATGAAGCCCTTGTCATTGAGAGGCAGCCGATTCCGAGCCAATCGCCAGGTAAGCGAAAACTGAGATAATCTGCCGCTGGCGCCCAAGAACAGAAAGAGCGAAGCTCCTCCTCCGACAAGCCGAGCTGCTCACGTAGGGAATCCTTCGCGACCCTCTCCACCAGAAGCCAATAGAAGACCTTCCTAGGCTGTGAAAGGTCACTGAACCAAGGAACGGCTAACAAGGCCGACCGACACTCGCGAAGGAAATCCGATAGATCCCGGGGTATACGAAGGCGCTCAACCCGCGAGATGGGGTGGGGGGATAGATAGCAAGGCAAGGGAACGTGTCCATAACAATCCCCGCCATAATCGAATCTCCTCCTACGCGCGGTGTAGGAAAGCCAACCTCGAGGCGAGTTTGTGGCTCGCCAAGTGTGGCATTCCCAGCCCCTCATGACATGGACGTTTTGCACAGACTCGTCTGTCGACTCAATTCCCGCGTCCCTTCCATAAAATGGAAGATAGTGAGCGTTCGACCGGCTTTTTGTGGTCATCACAGAGAGGAAGTACAGGCAATCAATAAAGGACAATCGGGAAAATGTAGCACACACCTCCGCTCTGCCCTTCACGGTCAACATCCGTCGACGCCAAATCCGACTGGCCGCGTCGACCTTTGCTCGTACTTCAGACCAATTTTTCTCCAGCTGGAGGTCGGCTCCAAACCACACTCCGAGAATGCGGACAGGACCGTCCGTCCAACCGAAGGGCCCCGGAAGATCGACCCCCTTCCAGGCACGTAACCACAAGCCGGACGACTTGTCGCGGTTAATCTTGGCCCCTGTCACCTTTTCGTACCGATCACGCGCCCTCAGTACCGCTCTAATGTCGCTGCGGGACGATACCTTAGCAGATTCATCATCGGCGTACGCAGAAACCCTGGCTCGAGCTCCTCCAGGAACGGCGATTCCGCGTAGGGCCGGACGGCGCGCCATGTCCCTCAGCCGGCGAAATAGAGGCTCCAACGCCAAAGCATAAAGTAGGGGCGACAGTGGGCAGCCCTGACGAACCGAACTAGACAGCGCAAAAGCACCCGACAGTTTCCCGTTCACCTGTACCACAGCACTGGGGGAGCGATACAGGAGGCTAACCCAGCGGCAGAAGTCGGGTGCGAATCCAGCGGCCTGCAGGACAGTGGTAAGGTAGTGATGGCCAACTCTATCAAATGACTTGGACTGATCTAAATTGATCAGCGCGGCCTCATCGTCGTCTTTTACACTATTACATCTATGATCGTGCAGGTCAGATGCAGGTTGCACAAGTCTGCTCAGGACCCAACAGAGACTCGGCAACGGACTGCAAACTCTCCTGCAGGATCTTTAACTCTGTGTTTAGCAGAGTTATGGGCCTATAATCATCTAAGTGCCCCCCAACGCCCTTGCCCTTCTTCAACGGCGTGATCACACTCCTGGAAATTCTGTTAGGGATGAAACCCGACCGGAACCAGTTGTTGAACACCACAGTCAAAATCGGGACAAATATGTGCGACAGCCTCAATCGCCCTCCGTGATCTCTCCTTCGCAGCTTGTCGCTTCAGTCGGCGAAAGCCGAGGAAAGTCAGCCAAATAGCTGTGGAGACCAGGGTCCTTGGTAAACTGGCTCTCGAAATGCTACCGAAGCGATCTCATGAAGATAACTATGTTTACGAGTATTACGACATATGTTGTGATGTCAGTTTTCGTATGTATTAAAATTTCGTATTGGGTGAGCTCTGTTTTGACATGTGTGTAAAATTCATACGCTTATGTCCGGTTGAATTGTGAGCTCATGAGTTACTTTTTTTTACAGTTAATTTTGTCTAGTTTTATTTCCGTGGACATCTCAGTGATAATTTTGACTTCGACCCAATATGAGCATGCCTTAATTCTGTCTTTCCCACAAACACTGAAAGCAAAAAATCGTTGAAAATTGAACTAACAGCGATATTTTTTCTATTATTGTAGAATTTCCAAGCTTCAGAGGGGTCATCAAATTTGTGAACAATGGGTCCATTTTAACTGTATATTTCATCACATTAGTGCTTGAGTCGTAAATTTTCAACTGAAATTCTCTCTCCTAGGCAGACATCCAAGCGGAGTTAGGAGATATGCCAACCCTTAAAGGTATCTCTGACAATAAAGAATAGAACTGAAGGGAGCGTCTTAGCTTTTCAATGAAGGCTGTATGAGACCGCAAGTTTTAAAATGTTGAAGATTTGGCCCGGAAGATGTTCTACAAATATATATTAAAAGAACTTCATAAATCAAATAATGGTGACATCCGAATCAGGGCTTCAAGGCCGAAAAAAAAAGGAACGTTCTAAACACTCAACCATATATATCTTATGTTAATTGGTCTCATATATTTGAGTTGTTATTCCGGTTTTTTTTTATTTTGTTTTTTTGTTTTGGTTTTTTCTTAAACAGTGAATTTAATAAGAAACAGTCTAGTCCTACTAAAGAAAAATGGTTCGATACTTACAGGAAGACACGTTTTTTAGTATATTTTTTTCGATCTAGGCCCGTTGTTATTAATTTTGCAGTTTAAAAAATTGAAAAAATACAAAAATAAAAAACAGGGATAGCAAATCAAAAAACGTTATCCACCTAAAATAATCTCTCTCTCTCTCTCTCTCTCTCTATATATATATATATATATATATATATATATATATATATATATATATATATATAAGACCCGCGCTAAATATGCAGTAAAAAATTTGCCGAATAGTTATATTTAGGGGTAAATGTATATGCTTAATTCGAAAATAACAAAGAAATTTTGATAAAATCTACCGTTTTGGAGTTATCGACAATAAAATTTAGGACTCATTCGCGTTACGGCAGGCAGCCATTACTGGCATTGTTTGCATACATTCGCTGCTGATTATATCTGCGCGGAAGATTACATTGTTAACGGCCTTTTTACGGTTCCTACTTGATGCAGTTACTGCACAACTAAGGACGCAATAAAAAAGACTGTTCCGCAGAAAATATATGCAAACAACGCCAGTAATAGCTGCTGCAACGTAACTGAGTCCGAACTTCACCGAGAGCATGAGCATACTAGCGTTTTTCAATCAGCTGATCATGACAGATTATGAACGATCTCCCCGAGAAACTGTAACTAAGGTTCGCTCAGGATAGTTGCAGTGTTAACCACGGGTGGACACTATTGGCGTTGAAAAAAACACAAATGTAAGATAGATAGACAGATAGATAGATAGATAGATAGATAGATAGATAGATAGGAAACGTTTATATTTATTAAAACTTAGTCAGAGATAAGATTTACACACAAAATGACGGCTTCTGGGTCAAAATTTATGTAATTTGTACATGGACCATCTAGAAAAGAATGTTTTTAAAAATTTCAATAAACTCTCAATATATGCCAAATATAATTGCACATTTTCATATCAACAGAAAACATAGCTGAATTAAAAACCCTTAAAGAAATATTTGAAATTGACTCAGTTCTACAATTTACTTGTGAAAACATTAAAAATAAAATCTCTTCGCTGTACACGGGGAATTAAAAATAAAATCTCTTCGCTGTACACGGGGAAATAAATTACATGAAACAACTAATTGGGAAACTTGAAAAAGTTCCTGAAAATTCGATAGACATAACTTGACGTTATTATTTAACCAAACACGTTTGAAAGAATTCTTGCTGCGGAAATACATCTTACATATATATATATATATATATATATATATATATATATATATATATATATATATATGTGTATGTGTGTGTGTGTGTGTGTGTGTGTCTCGTTAAAGAAGTCCGAAAACACCCAGGAAACATACTAGTAGAAAATACAAGTATAATAGCCTCATCCATATATAAAAAATACGAAAAATAATGGAAGCCCTAATAGCAAAAAAGGAAAATCCAACATTTAATAACATTAACTATGAACACGGCCACAATGTGCTGACCGTGTTTTGAAAATATAAAATTCCTATAACTTTAAACACATACATAAAAAAACAGACATTCAGTCTTGATAATGGCTAAAAGAATAGCCGAGAGTGCTCGAATATACAGAACTGTTACCCACTTTGTGTCCAGAATAGAAAATGCTTGTACAAACACAAGGAAAATTAAATAAAATGCTTAAACGCAGTTCCTTGTCAGTCGTCTAACGAAACATATAAAATTGCTGCCCAAATAGACTATATCGATATGTATTCACACACACATATATATATATAGGTAACTATACTCGTCTCGAAAAACCTTAGGTTTGTCTGGCTCACTAGGTTTATATATATATATATATATATATATATATATATATATATATATATATATATATATATATATGTGGGGGGTGCGTGTGTGGGTAAAGTTGGAATACGTGAAATATTTTTCGCATTGAAGACATCTATTTAACTATTTTCTGCATTTCCAAAAAGATAATGAAAAAAATCTCAGGAAATTAATTTTTCTATATTTACATTCTATTGGTTTATTCACGGACAATTTTTTTAAAATTATCATTAATTATTAAAATGTTATAAAATGCCCTTCAGTAATGGTACCAATAAAATGCCCTTCAGTAATGGTACCAATATTCATACTGTGGCTTCCATTTTCAAAGTCCATTCAAGGACCATCAAGAGAAAAGGTGAATAAGTTTTAAAATGAGGAACAGTAGAGAGGAAAACTGTATCAGGAGGTCACAACAAAAAGAGGGGTCATCATTTTAAATCAGAGCGAAAGAGATCAATTAGAAAACATTCAACTTAATCCATAAAACGTTTGACACATGAGAAAACTTTCATCTATAAGAGTCTAAAGAGCAGTGAAAAAAGACTTGGAAAAGAAATTGTACGTGAAAGCTTTGAGACATCTTGTTACTCCAAGAAAAAAAAGTTAGAAGATTAGAGAGGGCGAAGATCATCTTAAATTAGTTGGAAAATGAAATGGTCATCGAATATATATATATATATATATATATATATATATATATATATATATATATATTCGAAATTTATTTGTGTCCTTCATGAGCTTCGGATCCTTAGCTAAGATCAATTCATGATAAACATGTCATTTTTGCTTATGATCGATTTCATCACAATTCTTCTGTTAAGGTTGGAGAGTAATTATACATTCTTATTGCTTAAAGTAAATTCTAATATTGTTCTAAAAAAAAAAAAAAAACTCGGAGAATTCCAGTAAGATATCTTTAATCATTTCGAAGATACACCGGTTCAAAATTTAATCCCAAAATTGGACAATTTTGCTGCTACATCATTTGGAGAATATATATATATAAACTTGTGCGTGTGTGTGTGTGTGTGTGTGTGTGTGTGTGTGTGTGTGTGCATGTGTAAATATTCACAGATAGAGTATCTCTGTAGAGGGGACAAAATGAATAAAAAGAGAATAGAGGAGAAACTATACTTAGCCGACGCGTTTCGTCCTCTGAAGAACTTTATGAAGGTAATGTAGGATTTATTTTGTTCTAAAAATGGCACTCTCATCATAAGAGAAAATAACTTACACAGAAGAAAGATCTTCGAGAGTGAATCTTATCAAAATGTAAATATACGTCCCGGCTTTTCCTCAATCTCACCTTTCCCGAAAGAATTACTAATTTCCCAAGTTAATATACTCAACCACAAATATGTTGAAAAATCAAAAGAAAACGGCTGAATCCATGACTTCAGCCTTTGAAGAAGAACATCATATACATCCATCTCATGCCATAACAATTTAAACAATATTCCTTTAAAAAAAATCTTGAATATTAATCGCTCATTTTAATTTTTGCCAGACTTTGAATCATGACACTTTGTGATCTCCACATGCTTTTAGCACGAACATTCATGAATTTTAACAAATTTAAAAGCCTTGATAAACCAATGACATCCCCACCTTTGTATATAAATACGTGCAGCAAAATGAATCCTGCATTGCCTTGATAAAGCCCCTCCGAGGACGAAACGCTTCAACTAAGAATAGTTTTTCCTCTTGTCACTTTTTATTGACACACACGCGCGTGAACGTGCGCGAGCGCGCAAACACACACACACACACACACACATATATATATATATATATATATATATATATATATATATATAAAGATTGAACGAAAGTCACAAATATATACTTATTGTTCTTGCAACTTGTTTTTGAAATGTTTCTACGAAAGTAGACAGAAATTTCAAATGAATAGAAAAAGTTTTCTAGCGCGATTAACATATGTGACATATAGCTATGAGTTCCAATTCACCGTCGAAGCAACATTTCCCATCATGCGTTGTTGATTTGTTTCCGTTTTCAACTTATATTAAAAAAAGAAAGAAAAAATTTCAAAGCACAGAACGAAAAAAAAAAAAATGAAGTAGATTATATTAAAACTTTCCTTTAGGGCGACATACATTTTTTGAATGCGTATGAAGAATTTCCAATCCTCAAATAATTATAAACAAAATAAAGGTAAAAAATAACATTTCTTCGTCGCGTTGGGAAGAGAACTCAAAGAAAAAAAAACACAAGACAAAACAAAGCTCTCCGAAAATGAAATGTCCATTATTCTCAAAAAATAAACAAACATATTAAATATCCGTTGTAGGATTCAAAGCAGACATAATCAAATTTTATTTACTTAAAACCACATATGCAAGCATAAAATAACTGTTTGCATTCTAAGAACTTCCCACGTTCCACCATTATTTTGAAATTCTCTTCCAAATAATATTTTTTCGGTCTTTAGAAAACAATCTCTAATTTCAAATCAACCACTGGTAAAACCGCAATTGTAGTAATATCTATCTATCTATCTATCTATCTATCTATCTATCTATCTATCTATCTATCTATCTATTATTTGTGCATGTTATACTTCCTGTTCTGTGTCCTGTAGAGCCGAATCCAGACTATGGTCCTTAGTACTTATAGGAAAATTGTCATTTAATTAATAGCACTTTTCTTAGCACATGGGATGTTACTAGTAGGGCGTTCTTCTGGCCAGCTTGTATGTTGATATTACTTGGCACACTGTCAGTAAAATTGACCATTCCTTTTCTTATGAGGCTCAGAGCTCGGATTACTATTGGTACAGACTCTGTCTTCATTCTCCACATCTTGTAAAATCTCGATCTCCGGGTCCTTGTATTTGGACACTTTCTAGGATAATTTTTATGGAAGTGTTTCTCTCAAATGGCACTGCTATGTCAATAAACATAAACTTCCCGAATTTCTTTTCTTTTAAGATAATATCAGGCCTGTTGGCTTTTATTTCCCTGTCAGTTTGAATTGGAATATCCATCGTTATTTTGGGTAACTATTTGGTTGGTACTCATACCATCTCTTAATGGTTTCGATTTTGTGCTTCTTGCATATCTTCCAAATATGTCGTTACGTTGTTATGCCTGTGGGTATATTCATTTTTTACTGGTTCCGAACATCCTGAGATAATATGATCTCGACAGTTTCATCATATTTTCCGCAGATCCTGAATTTCTGGTTAGTTCCATCCTTGATTATAACACTGATAGAATCTGGTTGCGAGGTTTTCTTCCTGATCTGCAATAATTAGGCCTTCTCTCTCGGGATCCAACCTGGTGCTCCTCAGCCAATGATTTGTTTGTCTGAGTATATAATGTATCAGTTTCTATATATCAGAACCATTTTAAGCCATTTATTAAGAGAATTTTTCAACTTCATCATTCAATCGCCTATCTATCTGAATGAAGTGGGCGACGTTTAAAATTTTGCTTCATCGGACGCCGAAATTTAAATAATTTGATGCAAAATATCACTGGCACTGTTGCACGTTTCTCTTTTTGTATCATGGAGTGTTTCCATCAAGGAAGCCTTTGTCTGAAGACTTTATTTCTGAACGAAACGGGTCGCAATATACTTTACCGTGCTCTCATTTATTTATTCATTCAATACCATATTCTTCAAAGAATATCAACGTTATACGAAGGGGTGTTGAAAAGTTCCAAGATAAATTTGGAGAGCCGTGATCACATATGCCCTGAGTGGACGCTGGACATAGAAGAAAAAGAACTATGTGTTCAAACTGTAGGCAAGCCAGTTAGTGCAGCCAGACGCAATAGAAAGATGGCGTCACACAACCCCCGATCAGTAATAACAAAGACGATATATTCTTAGGAATGGACATCAGAACAAGAATAATGTACACTCGTAGATTAAATAAAGTTTTATGAGGGCGATTATGAGGGCGATATTAAAAAGCAATTTAAAACAAAAAAATTCATAATATAAAAGGGGGGGACAAAACGATACATTGCTTTAAAATGGTAATATATATTTTATTTACCTGTAGTTATATTTCATATTACCAAATATACCATAATATATACAATTTTGTTTAAAAATATATTATTTGTAATTTAACCCAAAATTATGTTAATAGTAAATAGGTACAAATAAGGGACTCTCTACGAATTTGTTCATCATCCTCTGATCGCCGCTCGTTGTAGTGGTGAAGAGGATTTCGTGGTTTGAAAAGCGAGGCTGTTAGGAGTTATACCTAGTAGGAGAACCCTTGGCAGCAAGGTGGAAGCCCCCAAAGACTCCAACGATGGAACAAGCAGATGATGATTATAACAGATCTTAACGATTGGACTAGCGGATGATAGGGCTACACATGAGGGATATGCTACAGAAGGCGCCCCTCGAATTTATAACAAAGCAGTATTCCGTTGCAGTTTCATGACTGGATTCTGCATGTCTCATTCCATATGTTCCGCAGAGGAAAGTCAGGCAATAAGTGTATTGGTGACTTTCTGGCAATTTGAGATCAACTTTAAACAAATTCACGCCATAGACTCTGATTTTCTTTCACTTCCAACTATATATGTAGCAAGAATGGTAGATTCAAGGTTTCTGCTAGAGGAAGCTAAATTCGTTTCCCTAAAAAGTATGATAACTCAAAATACAATTGAGTTATTTCCATTGTCTGTGAAGACGTTTGCGCCACTTCTGAATTTAACCTGGGCGACCAGTTGACACGCACGTGGATGCATTGTTTCAACCCATCGATCTTTGAAATAGTGAATTAAAAAAGGATGTTTGATTATGCGGTAAAATAAACTTGTCCTTTACCATCTTTGAAGATACAAAGACCATCTTCGAAGGTATATAGACCAACTCAAAACAACACTAAAAGCCACTGGACTTGAGCATAAATCGTTTGAAACACACGCACAAGACCGTACCAAGTGGCGATGTTCCATCACCAAAGGGACAAAAAATTTCTAAGACACCAAAGGAATAAGTCAAAACGACGAGAGAGAGAGAGAGAGAGAGAGAGAGAGAGAGAGAGAGAGAGAGAGAGAGACTCGAAAAAATCGACCGCGTCTTCCACCAATATTACCATGCAGTTAATATCACCGATTCTTCCATGTACGAATTGGTTTACTTAGTCATCAACACCATCATTATAAAAGAGGTGATCAACAAAGAAGAAATTAAATTCTGGGATACAATAATGGCACGATTAATTCTGGGTTCAACTTTCAGCGATACCAATTATTTTATTTCTTAAACTGCAGCCTTTTACTTTTTTTGACTGCTGTTCTGAGTTTTTTGTGTTGATAAATGAAAGCTCATGACTTTAGGGAAAAATAATAAACGTTTTTTTACAATTCAGTTGAGCATTATTATTGCTTAGATTTTGGTCAAAGGGTCGAATCGCTGATCATTAAACACCGTCATTGATGTTCAACACATGTGGCACGTATGGAAGAGTCAAGGCTTCTGTGTCAAGACTTATTCAGAGAGCTCACTTGAGGGAAAAGACCACGGGTTTGCCCTCTTCGAAGATACAAGGACTAACTTAAACACAAGCCCAAAACCTTACGAAATGGAAGTGTTCCATCACTAAAGGAACCAAAAGAGAGAAGGAAGAAGTCAAAACGAGAAAGAGAGAGGGAGATAGATAGATAGATAGATAGATAGAGAGAGAGAGAGAGAGAGAGACTCGAAAAAATCCACCAATATTACCATGCAGTTAATATCATCGGTTCTTCCATGTACGAATTGATTTACTTAGTCATCAACAGCATCATTATAAAAGAAGTGATCAACAAAGAAATTAAATTCTAGGATACGAGTTAAAGCCACCGACGATATTTATTTTTCTTTCTTTTTTTATCGCTCCAATTAAAAGTGTTCAGTTTGAAATTGCATGAAGATTAACCGCATCGACATGTCCCTGAAAAAGGCCAGCAGGATCAAGCTCGAAACCTTGTTTTAACAACAACAAAGATAAGGACAGTATTTCAAATACAAATAATTAATAAAAAGATTTACTATATTGGGCGAAGATAATTCATAGAAGTGCTGAAAAGTTTCGGTTTAATTTCCTTCTTAAAATATGATATCTACGTTCAAATTCAAAAAGCATTTATAATTAATGGAACCCATTAGCATAAAATCAAATAATCCTTAACATCAATTCTGAACACGACTCTATTTGCGAAGAAAAATATATCTCCATGTCAGCGACATTACAACTTTCAGCAAATTTAAAATAGCACAAGCAAAATTCTTGCAAATACCTAAAGCAAAGGGTGTTTCATTAAGACGGATCAAAGTCAGCAGTAAATAAATCAGTGTTAATGGTAAAAATTTATTTACTTCTCTATTAGATCATGTTATTTAAGTCAGGGCAATTATCTGTGAAAAGTAATATCGCCCAAATATTCGCCAAAAGAAAAGAATAAAATCATTAGACACTTAAACTTGATTCACATTTAAAATAAAAATTTACAATAAAAATTGATGAAGGATTACTTTGATGAGAAGCAAGTGAGTGTTATGACATGGCCGCCCCAATCTCCTGACCACAACCACATAGAAAACTTATGGAGCATGTTGCTCAACTGCTTTCTCAAGAGCTTGTACTTTATAATGCTCGATACGTTTTCTATGGGGTTGAGGTCAAAGTATTCCTTCATCAATTTTGATTTGTGACCGGGAGCATTATCCTGCATAAAAATGAGCTTGGTGGGGTCGATTTGCACTCTTTCAGAAGAAGGGAGCAGACAAGACTCTAAAATTCTCTTGTACTGCTCGCTATTGAGGGTCTTTTCAATAGGTTTTAAGAAACCAGTTCTATTAAATGAAAAGCATCCCCAGAACATTATACTAAACGGATGCTTGACAGTACTTACTGCTAAATTCAAAGAGCTTTCAAAGCTTCTTTTTCGGATTTTAGATCGCTTATCCTTTGAATTTAGCTCAAATTTCGTTTCATCGGGGAAGAGAAC